TGTTCGGGTGTTCGGGTTCGGACGTTCGGCCCGTCCCAAGCGCCGGCAACCCTGACACTTAAAATAATCAAATTGCATCACGCGAGTGTATGAAGTCATCAAAGAAGATCCTTTTTATAAGATAATGGCAAAATTAATTGTTCTTATAGAGCCAAGTATTGTGGTAAGTGCAAACAATTAAAAGCAATAACACTTTCAATCATAATAAATCTTATAAGATTATAACTTAACAACTATAAATGTAAAAAAAAAAAAATAATCTAAGCACAAACTTAAACCGTAGAATAATAGATAGTTTGATATAAGTATAAAAAGTTTATGCAAAGTATATAGTATATGACCCAAGCAAGCACAATCTTGACTGAATATAACCAAAGTATACTAGGTACAATAAGACTAGACCAAGTTGGCTCCCAAGCCTGTTTTCAATGGGGGAACCATTCCGCTTAACGAATGACATGTTGTTAGGGATTGAATATGAGTCTCTTGGGTTAGCAACCGAAAAACCTTTAGTATGCGGCATCAGCCGTGCAGAAAGTTTTTTGTCACCACAAGCAAAACTTGGATGTGTCGCGCGGCTAGACCCGTCGTTGTATGACAAACAAAGATACTTATCGCGTTATTATAACGTCTCACCACAATACAGTTGGACTGACTCCCAAGTCAGCTCCTCACAGGGAAGTCGATGCACCTGACAATGTAGCAACTCTTGTATTATGGTGACGTTCGAAATGTATAACTCCCAATGGCATGAACACCAGTTAGTGCAAACCTACTGCGCAGCTCGTTCACGTAATGTGGTAATCTCTTTTTCTTAGACTTCGACCTTCATTTATTCTCGCAAGTTAACAATATGAGACTTCCCAGATTGAATGACAATTATAGAAGCATGTCAATGGGTTGGAGAAGGGGGAAAAAAAAAAAAAAAGTTTTTGGAATTGCTAACTTCGGATGGTGGGGTGGTTGTGCTGTTGGTCATAGCCATTGGAGTCACTGCAACGGATGCATCCGACTTTTTAAACTTCGAAGGGACATTTGCAGATCTCATGACACTCCGTAATACTTTAGCCAATTGTGCCTTCAAAGACCCTTCCGGTAACTCACTCGTGGTAATTTCTTTTGAGTGCATAGATTTGTGCACAAAACACACACTGTCAATGAAACGTACATGGTAAGTGGGCCATCACATTGTGGGCCTCACCAGGAGAATGTGAGCAAGGCGTTGTGTAGCAAGTTTTCCTTCATATACTCAAGCCACTGGGCTTTTCGAACATTGTCAAGTACCTTTTCCTTGAATATAATGCCCCAACATCATCAAGATATACAAACCCGCTTCTGGTCCAAATACAGGATGTGGGGGTGCTGTGTTTGGGGGAAGAAGGCAGCATAGTTGTGTGTTTTTTTTATAGCAAGGGCAATCAAGAAAAGGGGAAAGGTTGTTGGCCTCGGGTTGTGGAGGACTTTTTCTTACAAATAGGAAAAAAACTTTGTGGTGTCCACCACCTTCCCATTTTCGCTCTCTCAAAAAAACGAACAGAAAGGAATCATCTTCCAACATGCGACGGACTTTATGCCAGTTCCAGTATTATTTGTCAAGTGACTTTTATTGATTTCCTCAACATGGTGACCTCACTGATTTCCTCAATCTGTTCTGTCCAAGTTAGACTTTTCGACAAATCCTATCCCTTTGTAGAAGACCTTGCCCCGGGAATCGGGCGCATGGCGGACCAAGTTTTGGTGGGCGAGTATCGCGTCAAGAGTTATTATGAATACCCTGGAGGCCATGTTTGCCTGCCGAGCCGAGAGTTGTGTGTTGGAGTCCTGTATTCGACATACACGTGCTTTTACGCAGTAACCGCTGCAAAGATTATACTATGGGCAGTGTGGTTGTGTAGGATGAGACTCACCGTGGTTGGGTTCACTGTGACGAACCGATTTCTGCACCACGCGATTGTCTGCGTGATAGCAATGAGGGGTCCTAAGTTGGGAAGGATGGGCCAATTACGGGAAATTGGGATGGATGGGAAATTGCATTTGTGTCCTCGCTTCTTCGTCTTTTTGCGTCGGTTCCTTTCGGATGGCTGGTTCAAGCCCGAGTGGACCCCGGGACGGTCGATTTGTTGATTGGCTCTGAGAGGGGCGCGCTGTCATACGCGCGATTAACAAATGTTGACGTCGCTTCTTTTTGTTTCGGGCTCGGACTTTTTAGGCGCGGACATCGCCCGAGAATTTTTGCTTCGTTCTTTTTTAAATTTCTTTTTGAATTCTTTTTCTTCAGATCTTGCCGAGCCCTGACGGCTCTCGGAATTTCGGACTTCGTTTTCGATGCTTGTGCTCTTTGCTTTTCGGCATTAGACAGGAATTTAGGAATTTGGCAATTAGGATTTTTCTTGGTCGCGCGACGCTTTTCACTTACACGCTTCTTCGTGCGGCTGCAACGGAACTCTGATTAGTCGGCGTCTTTAATCGTGTGCGTAACTGTAATTTTGGGCGGGCGCCATTGTAACTGTATCTTTCTTTTTGTGCTTCGCCTTTCCCGCCCCTCGTCTCTTTCTTTTTGCTGCGTTTTTGTAGCTGCGGTCTACATAATCAAATTGATGCGTGGAGAGTGGCCACGTCCCCCACGCCGTGATCGGGTCATGCAGAACGTAGGCGCTCCCTCTCCCGATCTTCCTACTAAGTCCTTGTAATTCCATGTTCTTCGCGCATGCATGCACGCTATAAATTCCGGCTGCACGATTAGTTAGCTCTTTGAACCCGCTAAGTGGAAGCTCGGGGTAGCGCGATCAGTGAGGGTCGGCTTACGAGCGAAGTAAGAGGTGAGTTGAAGTGGGAGTCGGACGACCCGACGAGCTGGTGCCAAATGCGCGGGGTTGACGCGGGCCACGACGGATTGTGGGCGCGGGCCAACCTGACGGGTGCGGGAGGACTAAGCGGGGTGACGGCTTCGTGGGTTGGTGCGTGATGATGGACTGTCCACATCGGAGAGAGAGAGAGAGAGAGGAAGAGGGAGATGAGGTTGATGGACGCGGATTTGCTGATTCTTTTGTCTTTTCTCCGTCTCTGCTTGTGTATATAAATTTTGATTTCGGATCAGGGCGATTTGCCCGTTTTTTGTTTTCGGAATCTTGGCTTGGTTTTCTTTCGTCCACACTCGTCTTTGCGATTTCAATCTCGGATGTCGTGTATGTTTATGCTGAATGAATGGATGTCATGTCTGTTTGCTTGTCCTTCTGCCTGATCCCTACCTTTGTTTACCGTCTTGATGCACTCATGAGTAGGGTAGGAATTTTGTGTAGTCATCAATACTGTTTCCATTTTTTTGCTTATCCCTTGATTGAGTTGTTGTCGCATGCTTAGAAATGGCGAAGTAATTAGATGATTGGATATGTGTTTGCCCCGAAGCCAGCAAACGCCTCGCGAGGGCGCGTGTAAAAGCGATCTGATTTGCGCATAACACGTGTCCCCGCACTTCGATTCGCCATCTCCGAAAAGGACAAATGGTAGAAGAAACAGTGTGCGATTGGATGTGGTCATCCTGCGTCTGCAGCGAAGCGATCATCCCGTGCGAACACGTGTAAGTGCGATTCAACTCGCTCGGCTTACACGTACTCCCACGCGGTGATCGCAATCGGCGAAGACACGCCCCTAGGAATCTCGCGGCTCTACAATGACATAATGACACGCTCTGGGAGCTCAGATTCGTCGTACGACCCGGAGTACTTCACCCCTTGGATTGAGGAGTGCCTCCGACAGAGGTTCCCCTGCCTAACCGAGAACTGACTGTGTCCTAGGGAGTTCCACTGTGCCACAACCAGCGATCCACGGTGTTCTGCTTTCCCCACCACGGACCACACCCACTACTTTATTTCCCCTGGCTTTGTCGTTATCTCCACTAATTTCCCTCCCTTCCGTCTTCTTCTCTCGTATCATCAACTCAGAGCCATCCCGTGGAAAGCCATAGCCCCTTACTGCCCCCGCATGCCCTGCGAAAATTGTCGACAACGCTGCAATCAGAGAGCCTCGGGACCGCGAGGGCCCAACCAGAACGTACGCGACCGGCGCCACATGGCGACAACCGACGACCCGACTCATCGGGATCACACCCACCCCGAAGGGATCTTTCGATGAAACGCCATCCTCAACACATATGGATCGAACGGCCATAAATGACCCTCGCATGTCATCTGCCTTATGACCAGAAGTGGTCCGCCCTCTCTGCCAAATTGCACCCGTGCCCCCGAAAAACTCTGCCAGAGGAGATCTCAGTTCTGACCTGGGACTCCACCCCCACTTTCCCAAAAATCCTTGACACACCCCTTTTCGCACTACCAGGCCCACACCCCACTCCGATCAGGAAGTCGCACTGGGCGTGAGGTTGGTATCGGAGCCCGACACATGGCCAGGTTTTAGGACTAACATCACGATAATTGAGCGATCTGGCTAACCGAGGGCGACCTCGACCCCGGAACGCGCATAGACGCGACCCCGTCATTACCCGAAGTAGATCGACCAATCCACAGGCAACCAACATGAACGCTAATCCACAGAATCCGAATCCGCAGCAGAATCAACAACAAAATCCTAATCAACCCGCCCCACGAGCACGGGTTCCCATGACGCCACATGATCTCTATCTGTTCGACCCTGCACATCATCTTGCAGGAGCATGGCTGGCCACGCTCCGGGCACAGCAGTATGACGATAACGAAGCTCAGGTATATATTCCCGCCCAATAAGGAGGAGACGCTCATCATTGGTTTAGTACCTATGTATGGGTGGATCTTCCGACTTTCGAGCGAGACTTTTTGAATCGATTCGACTATGTCCATCCAGAGCAAGCATTTTTTATGATTAAAGACCGGGTGCAAAAACCTCTTGAATCTATCGCGGAATATCAAAACCGATTCTACCGAATGTTTGTGAAAACTGAGCGGGGCGAACAAGTCTGGAGAGATTTGCTTATCGATGGACTTCGCAGCTGAACGATAAGGGAAAAGCCGCGAACACAGTTGTTCCCCATCAATCATACACTGCAACAGATTATGGCGGTTGCAGAGGAGATGAAACGAAAGTTCACGGCGAGTTTCCTTAAAGGAGAAGACTATCCTAAGGAAGGAGATTCGTCCGAACTTGCGAGGGCAAAGGCTGAGCTGGCCGCGCTGCAAAACAAGTTCAAGAATATAGGATTTGTGTCCGGCCCAGTCACCTATCCGGAACAGATAGCCCCTAAACGACCAGCCTCGGGTGTAATCACGAGTGTCCCTGTTCCTGCGATGCCAACACTTGTAATGACGGCACCCCCGCCACCGATTGAGAACCCTGTAAGGTCAAATGAGTCCATTGCTATTTTTGAACTGACCAAAACGTTAATTAGCCTAATCCAGGAAAGCAAAAAGGAACAGCGAGAGCATAACGCTCGGCTAGAAGCTACGATGAGGAACATGCGGCCCATCACAGTACGTGCCGCTCCAATCCAACAAGGACTAGCCCCGACACCTGCTCTCGGAGAGGCCGCAAGCAATCTGAATGTTTGCTATGCATGTCATCAACCAGGGCATCTAGCCCGTGATTGTCCCCACCGGCCCCCGCAACAACGGGTCGGGGTCGCACCAATGGCAGCAGGCCCCATCACTAACGGACCTGGACGAGTAGGAGCCCTGATGGAGGAAATGGAAGGTGGAGGAAGTGCGTTAGCTACCACGGAAGAGGTTGCTGAGCTCATCCCGTTGGACCAATATGTGTCGCTTGGTTATCCGGGGATTGAGATGATTGGAACGATCAGATCGGCGCCGGAACAGAAAGAAGTGGCGGAGTGGCGACCTTCTTCAGGAGAGATGGAGTCGGGAGGACCCACCTTCGTCACTGGGGAAATCGATGTGTTGGACATCATCCGAGCCTTAGACCATCGGATTCCACTTCCGATCAGCCATCTGCTCTCGATCTCTGAACAAGCTAATAGGTTAATGCTACAACACTGTAAGGCGAATCGAAAACGATTCGCCCTTGCCCAAATAAGGAACGTGAAAGGCTAAAAGCCCCACGCAAGACGAAAATGCAGCTGGCACTTCGGATCCGATACGGGTAGGCTTAATCCAGAAAGACGATCATTTCTTGCGGATTAAACCCATCCCTTGGAAATCTGCGGAATGCGACATTGAAATATGGGGAATTCCGTATAATGCAATCATTGATTCGGGAGCTGCTGTTTTGGCTATTTCGCTGCGAGTAGTTGAGAGGGCGGGTAGGAAAAACGATCTAATCATGCTTGCAGAAAAGGATCAACTCGTTTCGGCAGACGAAGAAAAGATTAAGACAGTGGGAAGAATGACCAACGTCGCTTTTCGACTAGGAAAGGTGCATGCGCTAGGAGATGTCGTGGTATTAGATGTAAACACCTACGACGTCCTTTTCGGCCCTCCCGCTCTTGTGGCATTACGAGCAAACTTGGATTTTGAGCGATGGTCAATCATCCTCCGGAATACGGGAGGAAAACCCTATGTTGTACCTATGAGGTTGACTCTTCGTACTACCATCAACGCAGTCCCGCGAGTTTCTCCGATGATGGCGGGAACTCTTCACATGATCACCTGGGAAAACTCCGCAGACGATGAGCCATCATCGAAGGATGCAGATAGCAGTGACGAAAATGATCCGGAAATTCTGGAACTAGCACGACAGCGTATTTATTACCCGCCACCCAGAACGATCACAAGAATGATGGATCTAACCAGTCGGAATATACAAAGGACCAAAGCGATGATTTTGGGTGAACTCCTCGTACAGATTCCGAGGATGGTAGATTCTTTGGAACCCCCTAGAACCCTGTACAAAGGAATCTCCCCTCTCCTCGCCCGATATAATGACAAAAAGCACTACTGTGATATCACAGATCTCCCGAAGTCCCTGTTGACACCTGCAAAAGAAGTACGACTGCTACGTCTGGAAGCCGATGCCAGTTCTTTGGAACCCCCTGAGCATTTCGAGGTTGAATCAGATGAGCTCAGAATTAAGATCGCGACTAAAACCGTACCATGGCAAGATATCTGCGATGGAATCACCCCGGAAGGACACGTGGCCATCCGGGAGAAAGACGCCCAAATGATGGCCACGGTGTTCTCCTGGCGATCGGACCATTCGTTTATCTATGCGCCACCACCCGATATGGCAAAACAAGCGCACACAAAGTAGGTCGACGTACGAATCTACGTACCTGATAAGATTCATCGTTTGATTGCGGACATTCTGACGGAATATCAGAGAGCGATTAGTGTAACGGACACTGACATCGGTTTGTTGCTGGTCATTCAACACGAAATTCATACGGGGAATCATTCCCCGATTCCATGCAGGCCTTATCGGTATTCCCTGATAGAACGTAAAAAGACTCTCAAACGAATTCGGGAATTCGAAGCAAGCGGTTGGATCGAACCTGCCACTGGACCATGGTCATTTCCAGTAGTGTTAGTACCTAAAAAGAACGGATCCATTCGCATATGCATTGATTATCATAAGTTGAATAATATCACGATCAAAGATGTGTACCCCCTCCCCCGGATTGATGATTTGTTGGATGCGATTGGGTGTGCTAATTATTTTAGCAAGTTTGATATTCGGCATGGCTTCCATCACATTCTGGTTAAGGAGGAACATCGGCCAAAGACGGCCTTCGTATTGTTTGAAGGCACGTGGCAGTGGGTTCGATGTCCAATGGGAATTTGTAACGCGCCTACCACGTTTCAACGAGCAATGAACGTGACGTTCCAGAACTTTGTCAACAAGACAAGGCTGACTCAGGGAATGATCAACTTTTGTGTGATCGTGTATATGGATGATATCCTTGTCTACTCGAAGACCTATCACGGACATGAGCAACACATCGAATGGACGTTGGGAACGCTAAGGGATGCTGGGTTCAAGATTGCACTTGAGAAGAGCGAATTTTTCCTTCCGGAAATTTCGTCCTTAGGGTACGTAGTGACACGTGGAGGGTTGCGACCGGATTCCAGGAAAGTTGCGGCCGTAAAAGAAGCCCCAGTTCCCACGTCGCTGACGCAGGTTCGAGCCTTCTTAGGCCTGACGTCGTACTACTGTCGTTTTATCAAAGGGTTTGCAGCGATTGCTCGACCTCTCACGAGCTTGCTTCGGAAGGATCAGCCTCTGCAGTGGGACTCTGAGTGTGGGCAAACCTTTTATGCACTCAAGGAGGCCCTGGCCACTGCACCAATTTTGATCCGACCGGACCCTACCAAGCAATTTATTCTTATAACGGACTAGCAACTGGAGGCGATCTCCGCCATTTTAGCACAGAAGAGGAACGATGGTCGTGAACACGTCATCGAGTACGCATCACGAACAGTGCCGGACGAACGGAGGAATGATTCAGCACCTCAAGGCGAGTGTTATGCAGTAGGCTGGGGAATCCAACACTTCCATCCATATTTCTACGGACAAAAGTTCCGCCTCGTGACGGATCATGAGCCTCTACTGGCTTTGAAGAAGCTCACTAATTACACCGGCATGATTGGACGTTGGGCAGTGTGCCTGCAGGAGTACGATTTCGACATCATCCATCGAAAGACAGAGAGACACGGGAACGAGGACGGACTGACACGTCTGCATCGACCCGCTAAAGTGCCTAAGGGCAAGGAAATCATTCCGTGGAAAGAACCGGAGGCGAACGGGCCTAAGTACGGACAAGTGGCAGTTCTCCCACGTGGCAAGAAGCAGACTGGTGACAATGGGTGACGGAGGTAATCCCGTAACCCCTCTTTCTCCCCTCTCCTCCGCATCTCTTCTCTCCCGGCCTGATAAATTTTGTTATTTTTGCGAAGCCATTTCTCGCATGTATTCGGTCTCCATGCGTCCTAACGGGGAAGGCTATGCGGAATGGGTAGACTGTCGACAGTGCGTTGCAATTGCCCATGGCTCGTGCATCAATACAAAAATGACAGTAAGTCGTGGCTGTGCCCCTTGTGTCGGGTTGACAAGATCCCGACCGAGGCTCACTTTTTGGATGCCACGTCAGAAGGATTGGAGAAGACCCGGAAGTTTAGAAGGGCTAAAGTATGGACCGATATCGCTTTGATTGCTACCTTAGTGGGTAACCCCCTCCAGGATTTCACGAAGGAAGATCGGAGGAGGGTTAATGGAAGGGCTCGGGATTATCGATGGGTCGAGGGTAGGCTAGAAAAGTGGAAAACGGACGGCAGTGGGATTTGGATGGTTGTACCGCACCCGTTCATGAGGTATGACTGGGTGAAGACAGCACACGAGGAAACGGCGGCCCATTTTGCCGTACGGATTACGGAGGCGGCAATCGAAAAAATGAATGGTAATGATCCAATATTCGGGACGATGTGAAATTCATCGTCGCAAACTGTCAAGTCTGCGCTGAAGGTGCCGATTCAACCGCCAAGATCGATAGTACCGACGATAGTTGAGCGGCCTTTTCAAAGGGTTAGCGTGGATACTACCGATATTGTGGTACCCCCTGGTCCTAATAGCTGTGAATATTCAGTCTTGTTGGTATTTGTCGACCATTTTTCGAAATGGATCGAGACCTACCCATGTCGCACGTGACAAGCCGCCGAAATCGCGCGGTATGTTAATTATTTTCTCGTGATGCACCAGGACACAGAAGAGATCCTAACCGATAACGGGGCAAAATTCAGAGGGGAAGTGTTGAGGAATCTGGTCATACACGGTGTCGCTGTGCGGAATATCGCGCCCCACATGTCACAATCCAACGGGCTAGTAGAAAACGCAAATATGGTGATAAAGACAGCGCAGCGACGAAACATCGCGGCACGGGATCCGAGGCCTTGGCCTGATATCGTCGACCACATCCTGGCGGTCCATCGCGGAACGCTCCACGAATCGACGGGCCTGAGCCCCTTCCAATTAAGGACCAATAGTGTCGCTTGCGTTTCAATACCGAGCCTCCCCGATGAGTCAACGCTGAACCAACGGCCCACAAGGGCCACGGTTCGGGACAAGGCCAAGCGGCACTTAGAGCTAATGGAACGATCCCTCCCCAGGCTAGCCCGAAAACGCCAGAAAATGACCGAGTTGGCCCACGGCCGACAGGTCCAAAGCTACAAGGCCCGAAACGGGAATGCCGGTCCACGACCCTAGTACAAATTGGGGGACATCGTGCAGGTGAGGAAATGTGCTCGTCAGGGTAAGCTAGCACCACGATTCTTCGGGCGATTCCGCGTGATTGAGATCGGACCGAACGGCGTGAACACCGTGCGGCTTGCGCCTGCGGTCTCCGGCAACCGATCGGCTCGACCGATCATCCGCCACGTGTCTTATCTACGCCCCCTTCCTTCCTCCCCATCTTCGCCTTCATCCGACTCCTCCTCCGCTGAAGAAGAGGACGACGACTGCTTATCACCTGTCTATCCTTCTTCATCTCGTTCTTTCTCAGACACCCCGTCCCCGCCACCATCGCTATGAGCTTTCTCACGGAGCAAGCCCTCGGCGACCATCTCTTAACGCCACGGGGTTACATCTCGGCGATTCGGCAGGTGTGTCATCCACGACTCAACCAGGATCTTATACAACTGGCGCAATTCTTCTGCACTGCGGGAGTGTATGCAGCGACTGAGTTCCGATTCGCAGGCAGTCCTCAGGCGGTGGTACTGGCAGAAGCAGTGGTTGTCCATCGGCGATCAGCTCCGAGATTAGCCACGTGTCCATGGTCGTCGGCTTCAGCGGCGATATCAGCTCGGTCAATTCGCTCCGGCATACCGTAGCAACTGGATAGGCAAAAGCGACATCCAAAGCAAACAAAATATAACTTGCTGGGTAGCAGGAAACTCATCACACAAACACAAAGGAGAAAGAGAGTAAGAAAGAGAGAGAGAGAGAGAGAGAGAGAGAGAGAGAGAGAGAGAGAGAGAGAAAGTGGAAAGAAAGTAAGTCCCAAAGTTTCCCGAAACGCGACTTGTCGGCCGACAAATTATCGATAAACGCCGCCAACAATAACGAAAGATAGTCAATTACGAACAGGCGCAGCGACCCTACGCTGCGTTTCATCCGGCCGCCACTACCGGAATCATCAGGGGTCTGTTGTCGCACGGAAAGGGACTGGACAAATAGCACTAATCACTTAAGTACTACCAAGAATAGAACCTCACAAAACCTTAAGCACGGGTACACCCGGATTAAAAGAGGGTACAGGAAGAAAAAGTCCAGAAGTCGCGAAGATTCCAAGATGAATCGAGCCTAGAAAAGAGTCAAAGACAGAAGTGTCAGGAAAACGTTTTCCAGTCCTTGTACTCCCGCCCAGTGGTCGTACTACCGCCAAGACTAAGCTCGAAAATTAAAAATTGAAATTAAAAATAAAACTGAAAGTCGAAAATAAAACCACAAAATCAAAATCAAAATCACCGAATCAGTCACGGGGATTCCACCCCTTCATTGGCAGCCACTTGTCTCTTAAATGCCAGTCTATTTTCGTTGCCCTTGGGCCTCGAGAAAAAAAAAAGAAGTTTCAATACCCCATCGTCTTCAAAATATTTCATAGTCCTAGAAAATACCTACTGAGCCCCGACCTTCGAGACCTACCCATACAAAACCGTGCGAACAAAATCAATCTTGCCCCGACCTCCCAATCTGAAGTTGAGCCTCATCAGGCTCCATTATGCGTCGGTCTTCGGACAAGGCCCAGCAACTCCTATCTCATGGATTAAAAACAAAACACGAACCAATTCAAAGGACCCTATTATACACCTCCTTCATGCCCAATGCCGTGCAGAGCTACCTACAAACTTTCCACAGACCCCCTCCCTATGACGGAGGCAACCCCCTGCTCAGTCTCTTTTTTGTTCCTGGTTGCAATGTTTGCCCCCACCCTGTCAAACATTGTACCCAATCGCCCCAGATTCCTCCAAACTTTCCTGAGAAGTCCCGCAGCACATCATCAAAATAGGCGTCGGGAAAGTTTCTTTTCCTAAGTTCAATTTTTAACGTGAATAGGAAAGCCACCTCACCGAGAAAGTTCCTTTTCCTAAGAAGTCCCGCAGCAACTGGCCACAGAGTGGAACCGCTCTCTTACGCGCCGAGGGGATAATCTTTTCCCCACGAACGACGTCGAGCTCGAAGGGATCCGAGCATTCCAGCACGAGCCAGCGGTGGTGCTGCCAGAGCTTATCTCCTTCCAACCTCCCCGATGAACCACTCCCAACTCTCCACTTTTGCTCTCCTATCTCTCTTTCCCACCTTCTGGCAATCTAGTCTTCACCCTCGTCTCTCTTTTTGCCTAGAGTCGCTCGCAGTCCCCCTTCTCGATCCTGAGCAGTAGAGACTTTGGCGCGAGCACTTCATCGAGCTTTCGGTGTGCCTGGTTGGGGTACGAATCACGTGGACAAGGGACGAAGACCATCGCAAGTGGAGCGAGTACTTGGAGTGGCTGATTATCCAGGCCTGGAGAACGGACGTGGAAGGCGATCTTCTCGGATTCCTGTTCGGATCGGTGCGGCCCAGTCATCGCCAACCGATCGTCCTGGAGCTTACGGTCCCACTCGCACAGCTAGCCGACGATCTTCTCCTGGAGATCGTCTCGCAAAGTGACGAGAGCCCGGTCCCGCACGTTCTCACGTGGACCTTGGCGCCGTATCTTCAGTGGTCAGCGTGCCTGGAGGAGCTGGGAAACGACCACAACCCGCCATCACAGCGGGATTATCTGAGCCCACAGGAGATCATCGATCCTGCCTACTTCCGGGATCGAACGACCACCGAGGACGAGGCGATAGCAGCAGAAGAAGAAGAAGCAGAAGAAGAAGAAGCAGAAGAAGAAGAAGAGGAGGAGGGAGACGACGAGGAAGAAACTCCCGAAGAGGGGAGTTACATCGAGCACAGCGAAGGGGAGCAAAGTGAGGAGGAAGAAGAAGAACAACAAGACGACGAAGAGGAGGAGCTAGAGTTGGAGGAGTCGGAGTGGGAGATCTCAGCGGAGGAAGGAGAGCAAGCGGGCGCACAGGCGGAAAACCCTGAGGAGGCACGCAAGAGAGAAGAAATTGCGGCCGAAAAACGACAGCTGGAATTCGCCAGCGGAGCCAATCAACAGGTCGCCGACGATCCGGCCCGAGATCCAGAGCCGCCCAAGCCCGAGGATGGGGACCCAGCTGCTGAGACTTCGGCCGCACCGGCAAGGCGGCGACGAAGCCGATCCCCCTCCCCCTCCGCCACCGACCGTCCACCAGTTCGAGCCCGTATTGATGTGGGGCATCTGGCTTCGTCCCCGGTAGTTATCCCGCCGTCCCCTTGACCATCTCACCCTCCGTCAAGCTACTACCCACGTTGTCTTCCCCCGCAATCCCTTCCCCTTCGACACCTTCCGCTTCTTCTATGCCACCCGTCTTATTGTCACAATCCATCCCACCCCTCGACCCGATGCGCCCTCCCCGACTTCTGCCTCCATATCCTCCTTCGGAGTGCCGCGTGGCGAGGCCACAATATGGTCGAAGTTTACTGCATGATTATAGGGACTATCCCTGCATGCGAAAACTGCGACCATTTCCGCGCAGCCCTCTTCAGCACCTTCACCACCCTGTACCCAGACTATCTCGCTTCCCTCCCCCATAGTGGTAATTGCTTTCCCCGCTTCCACCGGATCGTTCGATACCAAGAACTTCCAGAAACGGTGGCGAGGTTGGATAGTCTCCTGCCCCCTCTCCCGATTAACCCTCCCACTCGCCATGCCCCCATGTACCGTCTTCCCTTCCCTCTCCCCACTGGACATTGGTGATCGGTTGATTGGTGCGCGTGTCACTGCGATGACACGTGTGAACCCCTCCTTGGATTGTGAATGGTCCTTCCTGAGGAATTAGTAGTTAGAGCTGTGTTTGCCACACTGGACAACATCCACACTCATTTAAACGGTAAGTGGCACAAAAGGAAAAACTCCACGTATCGATCGATTAGAGAGATCGACACGTGTCAACAAGCAAGCAGGAGCTTGCTAATATTGGAACCCCCTCGGCGTCACATATGTGACGAACCGATTTTTGCACCGCGCGATTGTCTGCGCGATAGCAATGAGGGGTCCTCAGCTGGGAAGGATGGGCCAATTACGGGAGATTTGGATGGATGGGAAATTGCATCGGTGTCCTCGCTTCTTCGTCTTTTTGCGTCGGTTCCTTTCGGATGGCTGGTTCAGGCCCGGGTGGACCTGGGGATGGTCGATTGGTTGATTGGCTCTGAGAGGGGCGCGCTGTCATACGCGTGATTAACAAATGTTGGCGTCACTTCTTTTTGTTTTGGGCTCGGACTTTTTAGGCGCGGACATCGCGGGGGAATTTTTGCTTCGTTCTTTTTGAAATTTCTTTTTGAATTCTTTTCCTTCAGATCTTGTCGAGCCTTGACGGCTCTCGGAATTTCGGACGTCCTTTTCGATGTTAGTGCTCTTTGCTTTTCCGCATTAGATAGGAATTTAGGAATTTGTCAATTAGGATTTTTCTTGGGCGCGCGACGCTTTTTGCTTACGCGCTTCTTCGTGCGGCTGCAACGGAACTCCGATTTGTCGACGCCTTTAATCGTGTGCGTAACTGTAATTTTGGGCGGGCGCCATTGTAACTGTATCTTTCTTCTTGTGCTTCGCCTTTCCCACCCTTCTTCTTCTTCTTTTTGCTGCGTTTTTGTAGCCCCGTCTACATGATCAAATCGATGCCTGGAGAGTGGCTATGTCCCCCACGCCGCGATCGGGTCATAAAGAACGTAGGCACTCCCTCTCCTGATCTTCCTACTAAGTCCTTGTAATTCCGTGTTCTTCGCGCATGCATGCACGCTATAAATTTCGGTTGCGCGATTAGAGCTTTCTTAACCAGCTAAGTGGAAGCTAGGGGCAGCGCGATCAGTGAGGGTCGGCTCACGAGCGAAGTAAGAGGTGAGTTGAAGTGGGAGTCGAGCGCCCCGACAAGCTGGTGCCAAACGCGCGGGGTTGACGCGGGCCACGACGGACTGTGGGCGTGGGCAAACTTGACGGGTGCAGAAGGACAAAGCGGGGTGACGGCTTCGTGGGTTGGTGCGTGACGACGGACTGTCCGCATCAGAGAGAGAGAGGAAGAGGTAGCTGAGGTTGATGGACGTGGATTTGCTGATTCTTTTGTCTTTTCTCCCTCTCTGCTTGTGTATATAAATTTTGATTTCGGATCAGGGCGATTTGGCCGTTTTTGGTTTTTGGAATCTTGGCTTGGTTTTCTTTTGTCCACACTCGTCTTTCTGATTTCAATCTCGGATGTCGTGTGTGTTTATGCTGAATGAATGGATGCCATGTCTGTTTGCTTGTCCTTCTACCTGATCCCTGCCTTTGTTTACCGTCTTGATGCACTCATGAGTAGGGTACGAATTTTGTGTAGTCATCAATACTGTTTTCATTTTTTTGCTTATCCCTTGATTGAGTTGTTGTCGCATGCTCAGAAATGGCGGAGTAATTAGATGATCGAATGTTTGTTTGCCCCGAAGCCAGCAAACGCCTCGCGAGGGAGCGTTGTGGGACCAAATACCCTTACAAGGGTATTTGGCCATGCTTTTGCATTTGACACGGTGACGGCGTCGGCTACCATGATAGAGCCGATCTGAGGTGAGATGGGTGTGCACGCTTTGGCGTGACACTTGAAACGATTTCCTCGGCCATTGAGGCCGAGGCGAATCGGTGAGAAAATTTCGAGACTCTGTGTGCGTGTTGTCTTGACGCGCACGGTGATGGTTAGGATTAGTAGCAATACCCTCGGACCGAAAAGGTTGAGGGGTTGATTGGGTCAGTATCGTGTCAGGTAGGCCTATGATACACGCTGAGACTTGGGCTGGTCCCTGTCTACCTACTAAATATTGATCGTCTAAAAATGCTAACTTTTGTCTTCTCCTACTCGGCCTCGACTACCTGGCACATCTACCTTTACTTGGTATGGCACTGACCTACCTGCCACTTGAGTGTTTTCCCCGCCACGACCTTCAGTGTCGCGACCATAGCTAGTTCCAGCCTCTTTGCCCGCCACTTGAGTGTTTTCCCTGCCACGACCTTCAGTGTCGCGGCCATAGCTAGGTACCAGCCTCTTTGCCCGCCACTTGAGTGTCTTTTCCCGCCGCGACCCCGAATGTCGCAACCACAAGTAAAATACCGGCCCTTGGGCCTTCTGATCAACTAGTAAGTACCCAGATGGGTTGCACACAGACTCAAACCGACAAGCGCTCAGGCAGGCATCCCAACCGGTAAACGTGTGAGCACGCAGAATTAGAAACGGGCTCGGGCCACTAGGCGGGCTGAGCCCCACTCCTATACAGATACAAGAGCAGCTCCTTCTTAAAACAGGAGCTAGAAGAGGAACTAGCTTAGTAGGTTTTGGGGTAGATTGTCAAGTTGGAGATGTAGGGATTGAATCTGCCTTAAGTTAGCTTATTTTTACAAGGAGTTTTTCTTCCGTTGTCACCCGCGGATGACTAGCGGGGACTTGAACCCGTGACCTCAAGATCATGGGTTAGTTAGAGTTAGTTTTTGTAGTTATCCTCGTTTGAAAACGAGGGCACGACAGTTGGCACCTCAGGGTAGTTAGTAGAAATAATATTTTCCCTTGTTGTTAAATTTTGTTCTTTTTCACTTTTTTTGTATTATTCTTTTATTTATTTATTTATTTTCTTTTTCTTTCTTTTCTCGTCCCGTTAGATTCATTTTTTTCATTTTTACTACAACTCTAATTCGTAGGTTCGCCTCGACGTATCAATCCGAATTTTCACGGGCAGATTCACTCCGAAGGCAGGCACTACCGTTCTGCCGGGATCGAGACGCGGGTGAGTATGGTGCATCTAGTGAGGGAGCACGTCGGAGGGGGATAGCGATCGCGCGAGGGTGGAGATGGCCGCGCGGTAGGAGGAGAGAGCAACAGCGGGGGCGCGTGCTCGGAGGCTGGAAGAGCAACCACGGGCGTGATCGGTAGAGATGGCGCGGGTGCGGTAGAGATGGCGCGCGGAGACCGGTGGAAAGCATTGGGAAGGTGGTAGGAGAAGTAGAGGAAGGGTAGAAGGAGAAGAAGTAGAAGAAGAAAAAGGAGGAGGAGGAGGAGAAAGGGAAGGGGGTTCGTCGTGACAGGGATAGACTGTTGTAACATCGATCTTGGACAAGGAATGTCGGGTAAGCGCGAGTCATGAGCTCGCACTGATTACATTCTTGCCCTCTGTACACACCGTCGTCGCTCCTACCGATTGAATGGTCCGATGAAGTGTCTGGATAGTGGTGATCTCGGCGGTTGCCGCTGGGGAATGCGACGCATCTATGGACTGACGACGACAACGACGACGGTGGTAACAACGGCGACCACGAGGACGACGACGATGACGACGCAGGCGACGGCGACGACGAAGAGAGAACAGGTCAGCCTTCAATCTCGTGACTTACCTCATGGTACTTCTACTGATAGGATAAATAAAATAAAATAAATAAATAAAAATAAATCGAACGAATCTACCGCTAGAATGGGGAAAGATTCATTACTATATGTGTGTGTGTGCGTGTTTCCGTACGTGTGTGTATGTGCGTGCGTCCGTACGTGTGTGTGTGTGTATGAAATGAAGCGAGAGACGGGTTTGTCGTCTGATTGATTGGATGCGATGGCGGCCTTGACTTCGAATGCCTCGGCGGTGTCGTCTGCACAGTTATCCGAAGGAATCCGTCTCGGGGGGGGGGAGGTGCCCATGGCAGGAACTCGATCGCGAGCTGAAAATTGGCTATGCATATCCCTTCTACCCCCCCCCGCGTTCTACTTCTTTTCTTCACACGCAATCAATGGATTGCGATTACGTGAGTACGTGGGTCTTCGTGCAGCCATGGCGGACGGACTGGAGGCATCGACCCGGCCGACCTTGATTGAGCGCGAGAAGAGTGCGTGTGCTTTCCGTGTTCATCAGGAGCTTCCACCCCACGGCTCGCCGCGCGCTACACTTGGATCGATGGGACGAGCAAATCAAAAAGTGTCAGTGTATATTTCCACGTTTCGGCGGAAGATTCATTCCGTTTTTGCTCATCCTATCGATGGAATGTGTGTGTGTGTGTGTGTGTGTGGGTATGTGTGTATGTGGGTGTGGGTGTGAGAGAGAGAGAGAGGGATCGAGGTGTGTGTGTGTGAGAAGAGAAAGAGGGAGTACCTCGATAGGTCCGTTGAGCAACGTACCTTGCGTTGCAAAAGCCTCCGAGGCCGTGGTTGGGTTCGTCATCGCCCGACTAGCTGGGGTGCGCACTTGCGCCTGCCGTGTCTTCCGCGTGCCGTGATCCCTGCACGCTGCACATCGTGACGGATCGGGGAGCATCAAACGAGCAATGTGGATGGAGAGAGAGAGAGAGAGAGAGAGAGAGAGAGAGAGAGAGAGAGA